AACTCTCTCACTTCAAAGGGGTTTACAGTCCAGTAAAGAGCTTCTCAAACTACATAAAAGAAAAGGAAAAAATTATAAGAATGAAGACTCCTAGGCTCCACCTCAGACTTACTGATTCAGAAATTCTAGGAATGATACTAAGGAATTTCCATTTTAAAAAGCACCTCAGGTAATTCTTACATGGTTTGAGAGATGTGTGCAAAACATCAGTCAGGGAATTGTTGATTAGGGAGCTTGTTTTTTAATAGGGAGACATTTAAAAGAAAGAAAGAAAGAAAATTGATCAGCACTTTTCCTAACTAATGCCAGATATCTATCAGAAAATAAGAAGTCATCTTTTAGTAGGGCATGGTGGTGCAGGCCTATAATCCCAGCAATTTAGAAGGCTGAGGCAGAAGGATCCCAACTTCAAGGCCAGCCTCAGCAACTTAGTAAGATCCTGTCTCAAAATAAAAAATGTAAAAAGGTTGGAGATGTAGCTCAATAGTAAAGCGACCCTTGGTTCAGCCTCCAGTAACCTCCCCTCTCCAAATAGCCATATTTTCGCCTTGGGCCAGATGTTCTTCTAAATTACTTTCACCACTAAGTTGGACTATGAGCTATCAAGTTTATAATAGAAACATTTAGTGCAGAAACCCAAAATCTCTAGTGATCTACCATTCTCCTTCAAATGCTGAATTCACTTGACATTTTAGTTTCGTTTAATTTAGCTCATGGACGACACATTTGAGTCTGTTTTCTTCCCAAGACAGTAGTGCTCATAAGGAATTAAAATTTTCATAATTTTTTCCTTTGACAGAAACACACAAAAAACTAGTAAACATAAAGAAAAGTTGAATTCAGAAACACGTGAGATATCTGGATTTTAAGCTCCTAGTTCTGTGTGTACAGGAAAATCACTTCGTACAGAAAAAAAAAAAAATCACCTGGGAAATGTCTATCAGTGCAAAGTGCAGAAGAGGAGCCTGACGGTAGAAGTAAGATGGATAACAGAATTTTTTTAAGATGGATAACAGAATTTTTTGTTAGCACCCCAGCTGATTCTAATGTTAATAGTTTTGAGAAAATATTCAGGGGTTTCAAGATTTCAAGACTCTATGCTCTTACCTACATCTCTCTTTGAGTCTAAATCAATATATGAAACATGGTAGACTATGAATACATGCATATTTAATCAAAGTAATTTCATATAAGGGAACAAATAGGGAAAGTTAGTTCACCTAATAAGAGCCTGCATTGGGTAAATCAGGGGCACCTTATAAATAATCGTGAATTATTGTCCTCCAGAACTGGGAGCCACATAGTTTAAAAAAAAAAAAAAAAAGCAACTCAAGGCCAGACATGGTGGTATACTCCTGTGATCCCAGCTACCCAGGAGACTGAGGCAGGAAGATCACAAATTCAAGGCCAGCCTTGGCAACTTAGTGAAAACCTGTCTGAAAATTAAAAATAAAAAGAGTTGGTGATGTAGGTCAGTGGTAGAGTGCCCCTGGGTTCAATCCCCAGGACAGAAATAAAAAGCAACTTAATATAGGCTTTGTGCTAATTCCCTTTAGAGATTATATAAAACATTCAAATTGTCTACTTTTAAAATTAAAAATATGCTGAACGATACGTGTGTAGCAAGGAGGGAGTGGTGAAAGTTATTTTCTGACCAACAGAAATAATCAGAGAAATATAATTCTGAGACTCATATAAAATAAAACCAAATGGTCTATGCAACCCCACTTCTGATATTAAGATATAATTTCCTTATTCCCAGAGGAATTAATTGTGGATAAAATAAACACATGTGCTATTATTGGATTACTAATAATTCACCAAGAACTGACATTCTCATCCTTACTTCCTTTCAGGGAACCAGAATATGTCTGAGTCCTAGGTTTGTCAGCTTTCTGAGTCTGAAAAGCATGCTTGACCTATGTATAAGACACATTATTTCTCAATCACATGTGAAAGGTGCACAGACTTATTACTTAATAACTTTGAGACCTTGGACAAGTTATTCAAGCTTCTAAGCTAAGGTTTAACTTCCTTAGCTGTAAAATGGGTACATAGGTCAGTCCTGCTAATCCAAAACTCCTGAGGCCAAAAGATCCCAGAAATACAATAGTTTATTGAGCCATTACAAATGCTAGCCAGAAAAAGAAACTACCAAGTCCTGGGACAAATTCCCACAACTATCAGCATCAGGATAGTTCATAGTTGGAAAAGTTTGATTAAATTTAAGAAGCCAGAATACTTTATAATGAAGACATGGGTTAGGAAAGTAAGAGGTGTTTACACTGAAGCCACATGTGCTATTGGCGAGAGGGGCTGGACTACCCTAAGCAAAGGCTTTGGGATGAAACAATCTATAAGGAGAAGCTACAGTTGCCTGGATTGGTTGGGGCTACAAGGAAGATGCCGTGGCACCTCGTGGATCAGGACAGGTTTAAGGTTTTAGCATTCAAGAATTTCATTTTTATGAAAACAGTCCTTTGTTCTTTTTTGGCCTGTAGCTTGTTATTCATTAATCTCTCCACATCTTTTTTTTCCTTCCATCCCCTGTCCCTTTGTAATTAAATATAGGACATGTCAGAATTTTTCTCTTATCAATCCTTATTCATGGTCTAGGCTCCTTCCACTCAGCCATGACGCTTCCCACACCACAGTGCCTAACTGAGGTTTATGTGGGAGGATCACATGAGATAATTTTTGTAAAAGTGCTCTGTAAGCTGTAAAGCACTATACAGATGAAGAGGATTATTATTAGTCTTTTATGAAACCCAGCCATAAAGATGCAAAGTGACCCAGAAAAAGAAAGCAGGATAGGCAAACCTGAAATACAACATCTACAGTGCCTAGAACATGACCCCCACCATACATGGTAGCTTAGTAAGTACTGAGTGAGTAAAGGAAAAAAAAACACAAAATATAGGTTTGTGCCTCCACCATACTTGATCTTATACCAAGAAGGAGGAAATATACCTAAAGTCAAGGATAGTTTCAATCACCATACAAACCAAAATGCTCAAGAGTGTAAGATCTTCAGTTAAAAATTACTTGAGATGAAAGTACACTAAAGTGTAAAATGTGACCCACCATATGGAAAGATATGGTTATAGCCTTACCTCTTTGGTTTTTCAAATATAGTCTTGTAGAAACAGAAGAACTGGGTGAGATTACTGAATTTTTCCCCCTGTATCTGATAGATGATAGATCTGTGTAAGTGGCCTAGCAACCTCCAGAGGAAATAACAAATTCTATAGAATGTTGGGTACCTAACTCTGGGTTTTGGACCTGGAAGGATGATTTTTAATGATACTCTGATTTTAATCCAAACCAGATTCATTCCCTAATCTACCCTTCTCCAAAAACAAACAGGAAAGGATAATGAGGGAGGCAGAGGTGGGAAAGCAGTTATAAAACAATTCTCTGTAGGATTCCTTTTCAGTTTCCTACAATATGTACAATATGATTCAAATTTAAAATTTCAATGTATTACATACAACTTTTGACACAGACAGCTATTTGTAGAAGAGGGCAAATCCGTACTGGAAAATGCCAAATTTAAAAAAATCAGGGGAAAAATGTTTTCTCCTGGGTGGGCCCTAATTGCTTTCTTTTTCCCCCATTGCAAATGTATTTTTATGCTGGGTAACATTTCCAAAACAGGAGTGTTTTTCTTTTTTTTTTTTCCTATTGTTGAAACAAACAAGATTGCTTTCTGAGCCACAGAAATGCCCAACTGTTAGGAAAAAAAAAAAAAATGTTTTCCACTGGCCACTTGCCTGTCTTATCCCCAGGCAGCCTTGCCTATCGGCCCCTTTCTCCAGGAGGGCCCCTGGGGCTGTCTGGTGGAACTGATTGTAAAACTATTTTGTGCAGTAAGAATGAGTTTCTTCAAAATCTCCGAGACCACCCAGAATATGCCCCTTCTTTGGCAATATATACTGGTTTCCCCCAGAACTCATTAGCTGTACACTGTGTAACTGATCCAGGTTTCTGGGTCTTATTTGGGCTGAGATGGAGGGAATTTTTTTTTTTTTTTTTTAGATAAAGGGAGGAAGAAAAACTCTCCTCTCACCAAAATTCCATGCAGAATTCAATGTGTGTGTGTGTGTGTGTGTGTGTGTGTGTGTAAGAGGCAGGGGGCAGGACAAGAGAATTCAGGGCAAAGACCACCTGAACCAAGCTGACCGCCCTTTGCAGAAGCATTTAAACCGTGTCCGGGAGCAAGCCTTTGCTAGACGCTCAGGTGAAAGCCTGTCCCTCTCTTTCGACACCAAAGCCCCGGGGCGGAACCGGCTCTTGCACTGACTGCTGGTCGGAATCTCGGGGAGCAAGGTCGACAGTGCCCTGAGGAGGCAGGAGCTCCTGGAGCACAGGCCCTGACTTTGTCGCTCTCCTCACAGCCTCGTCTCTCACATACTAGTTGCTCAGTAAATGCGGAATCAGAAAGCCCCGAATCAGCCCGGGGGCCCAGGGGCGAATTATGGGGTGCGCAGGTTTATCCCAACCCACTGTCTCCTCACGTTTGCTAAGGTAACCGGGTCTCAGCTGTTACGGCCCCAGGAGCTGGAGAGCAACCAAGAAGGCGAGCTGCTGGGGACGAGATGCAGAACGAGCCCGAGAGGGGAAGAGGCCGCGCGGGCCGCGAGCTGGGGCGCCCACCTGACCCACGAGCGGTCGAGCCCCGCGCTCCCATTGACAAGGAGGCCGGCGCGGGCCGGGTGGGGCGGGGTGGGGCGCACCGGCGCGCGCCCGGCCCCAGGCCCCGCCCTCGCCAGCCCGCACGCGCCCACCGCGGCCAGGAAGGCGAGGGGGGAGGGGGAGGCAAGGCGCGCGCGCGCGCGCCTCCGCCAGCAGTAGCGGGCTCCCGAGCGCGCGCCCTCCCCCAACCCCCGCCCGCGCTGTCCCGGGGGCCCGGCGCGCGGCTCTGCTGACGTCAGCAGGCGGCTCGCGGAGCCGGGTGCGCAGAGCCGCTGGCGCACTCGCGCGCTGCGCTCGCCCCCTCCCCCGCGGCTCGGGAGTGCGCGCGCGCTTGATCGCTCTCCCTTTTTTTTTCCCTCCCTCCCTGCCTCTCCTCTCTCTCTCTTCCTCTCTCTTTCTCCCTCTCTCTCTCTCCCCCTCTCCCTTGAGCTCCCCGCTGCCCGCGGCTCCTTCGCGCTCTCCCTCTCTCTCCCTTAGGCTCCACCGAGCGATGCGAGCGCTGGGAGACAGCGACGCCGCCTCCCGCTAGAGACCAACCCCCCGGCCCGGCCCCTTGCCCAGCCCTGCCCAGCGCGCGGGGGTCGGCGAAGGCGCCGCGGACGCACCGACGGCTGAGGACCGGCGATGCACATGCACTAGCAGCACCCCCTAACTCACTCCCTCCACACCCCGCGCCGCCGCCGCCGCCGCCTCCACCTCCTCCTCCTCCGCCTCCTCCTCCTCCTCCTCCGGCAGCCGCGGCAGAAGGACCCACCCTGCCCCCCACCCCACCCTACCCTCCGCCGGCTCCGGCTGCGGATCCAACCTCGACTCTTATTTTATTTATTTTGGGTCGTGCACAAGCCTCAGTGCCTGCAGCCCGCGCCTCCTTGGCCCGCGGGCGCCTCTTTCCTCGGCTTCGGAGCCCCAGACCCGGCCACCCTCGGCCTCGACTCCCCCAGACTCCCACCCGCTGCCCGGAGTCTCCGCTGCTGGAATCTTGTTAGCGGCTGTCTTTTGGGGGGTTTCTGGTCTTCCGACATTTTTGATCCCAGCCAAGGAGAAGATATCGTGATTTTTCCCCCTTTGAGCCCAGGCTCTGCTCTTTGGGGGGGTGGGGGGCGCGTCGAGCCGGGGAGCCGTGCCAGCCTAGTCGTGCGGGCTGTGGCAGGGAAGGGGCCACCATGGGATGTACTCTGAGCGCAGAAGAGAGAGCCGCCCTCGAGCGGAGCAAGGCGATTGAGAAAAACCTCAAAGAGGATGGCATCAGCGCCGCCAAAGATGTGAAATTACTCCTGCTGGGTAAGGACCACAGCTGCCACCCCCATCCCCGACCCCGTCCACAACGCACCCCCGCCGCCAACCCCCCCACCACACTTGTACCCCGGGAGACCTGGTCACCGAGTTGGCACTACCATGTGCCCAGGATCTCCCACCCCCTCGCATGCCTTAAATCCCCCCTCCCGGTTCCCCTAAACTGACACTCACCAGTTTTTCCCCCTATCTATGTCCCAACAGGGGCTGGAGAATCAGGAAAAAGCACCATTGTGAAGCAGATGAAGTAAGTCCCTGTGGCATTGGGATTTGTACTTTTTTAAAGAATGATTTTTAAAAATCGTTTTTATTACCTTGCTCACTCCACATTGCTCTCCAGGCCTGGTTTTTTAAATTCGTACACACACACACACACACACACACACACAGACCTGGCTTCGCCTCCCCACCCCCACTTCCTACGTTGGTTCTGGGTCCTCCACCCCAACTCCTGGGGTGAGTGTTTTTGGGGGGGTGGAGGGAAGGGGAGCGTCTGTAGTTGTATGAATGACGGTGTCCGCCATATTGATCAGAACATCACACTATTGGCATGATTATGATCATTACTCTTGCTCGTGGAGTATTTCGTGTGTTTTGCTGCCTCCATTTCTGTCTCTGACTGTTTCTCCTCCTCCTCCTGCTTCCCTCCGTTCTTCTCCCGGGGCAGTGATTTTGAACTTGGCTAAAACATGGAGGGAATCCAGCCTTAGACTGGGGTGGAGGATCAAATGTCTGCTGTTCATGGATTTGGTGCTGAATTGGAGGCTGTGGTTTTTACAACCCCCCCCCCCAAAAAAAAAAAAAGAGGACCAGGGTTAGGGGAGGGGGCGTGTGCTAGGGGAAGGGGTGGGTTTCCAAGCGGATGTGACAGGCACAGCTGTATCCAAGGCTGAGATGGAAGGGGTACCGAGGATGGCTGTAGGACTGAATGCCCGTTGCCCCTTGTCGCCCCAGGCCCTTCTCCCGACTCTCCCAATATTTGCTTTCCTGACACGGGCAGGTTTCACTCGCTCCGTGACCTTTATCAATGTATTTATTTACACTCTGCATAGGCCGTGTGTTCCATGTAATTTACCCACATTGCGGATTTCAGGCCCCACTTGCCGCCGCCCCCTTCTGCCTTAGATATCAGTTTCCCCTCCTAATTAACTGGGGGTGGATTTGAGTGATAGTTGAAAATTAAAGCAAAATGGGATATTCCTTTCCTTCCACACTTTCTCAATAAGGAGCCTCGCCCCTCCTTCCTACTCGCAGGCTCGCTTCTTGCCCCATCCACTTGGCAGTTCCTGGTGAGACCACAAGCAGTTTTGCTTGGGGAGGGGGTGGCCAGCAGGGAAGGGGTGCGCGCCTTCGGGGCCTCCCGGTCCTGCTGCTTCCTTGGCCTGTCAGTTCAGGACGGAGGAGTTCGTTAAGACTGTTTAGCGAGGATTCCACGTCGCTTTGCTGTGACACCTTCGTGCACACACAGTTCCTAATTAGAGGTTGCTGTGCAGTAAACAAAAATGATTATTTTTCAACTTGACAGAATAGCCGAAGTAATTGCATCCCGCAGGAAAACAATGGAAAATAAAAACCCTTTTCGTGGGAAGGTGGGTGGGAGACGAAGCATGCTTGCGGTTTCAGAACCAAGAAGCAAAAAAATCTTGCATGTGTAACAGGCATGACAAGCGGGATCCAGGAGGCGCCATGATGGCAGGGAGTAGCGACTCAGAGACAATTTCCCCCATCTGCTTGGCGTGTTCTTATTTTTGTTCGAGAGCTCCCTGGGGCCTTCTTTCGCAGAGGCCCCCTGGCTCCGCTCGCCGCTGCCGCACCCTTGTGAGCCACCCGGTAATTTGGCCTGGGGCTTCTCTGGAGGTCTTGCAACCCAAATGGATGGAGAGGCGGGGCCTGGGGAATTGCTCTTTGCAACAAGGTGCATGTTGCATCTGCCTGGAGCCCTAGCAAGTCGGGAAATGCAACCCGCCACCCCCTTCTCCCTAGGGGGGACGTTTCAAAACTTCAGAAGTGTGTAATCTGCAGTGGCAGGCTGGGAACCCGGTAGAAGCCCCAGCCACCGAAGCTGGGTGAGGTTTCAGGCGTTGTGAGTGGTGGACAGCGCCCAGCCGAGGCCGGAAAAGTCGATGGGACTCAGCTCGGAGATGTTCGGCTCTTCTCGGCTCGGCCTGGGCGCGGGGCTCGGAGGAACTCGGTAGTGTTCGGAGCCGAGTCTGGGCTTGGCGGAGAGAACCGAGCCACTTCGGAGGGAGCCGAACGCATTCGGAAACCGGGGAGGGAAAGGTAGGAGGGGGACAGTTTAGTCTGCAAATTAACTTTGCATTTACCAAAGTGACACATTATCTGCGTTTCCTGAGCATGCCCCATAAATTAGGTTGATTTAATAAGAAGTTTAAAAATACATACTGAGTCCCCCAAAGGGTATCTTGCCTTTTTTACTCAAAGAGAGCTGAGCTCTCTGAGGAGATAGGTGTGCCACTTTAGAATGAAAATTCCTAATTATGTACTGGGGCAGGAAATTTTAAATGAAGGCAATATATAGGCTTTCTGGGGAAAGTCCTATGTGTCTCATATTTGGTAACACAAGAGGGAGGAAATGAAGTGTTTGGTGTTGAGACAATTAAATCAGAAGGCAGGACATTTATTTTTTCCTCTATCTCTTTATCCTAGATTTTCTCTTTTCTTAACTCCCATAGAACACCTTTTTGGAGAAAAATGTCACGCAAAACTGAGATTTTGTAGCTAAAACAAAAATTTTAAAGCACTACATACCATCTCTCTTTAGGAAATAGACTAGGTTTGCCCAAAAGGTCCATCAGAAAGGTGTCTGGCCATGTAAATTTTGCCACAAGGGACCCTAGCCTCCTGAAGCATTCATGAATGGCAGTTTTTCCTGTGAGCCCTGCAGCTTGGCTTGAAATAAATCAGATCAGGGCCTTGAGCCAAACTGGATGCAGCTTGTTTTATTAACCACAAACTGTGGGATTGGTGTCACTGTATCCTAGTGACAAATTCTTTTGAGTCTCATTTGCAGAGATGGTTTTAGAGATCATCACTTGAGTGAGAGTCACTTTGAGTCAGGAGAATTGTACTTTCTGGGTGGGGCCCAGCCTGAAAATCTAGGTGGCATTTCCAGAAAGCAGTTTCCCACTTCCCAATGGGATATGATTGGTGACCAATCTATCAGGCCATGTGTATAAGTTAATTAGGATGCTGTGTTATTTCACCTGGGCAGATGAAATTAGGCAGTTAAGGAGTCCTCTGTGGGATTGCCTAATGGGGATTGGAGTTTAGTAGTACAGCCCATTGGGTTGAAGAAGAATATTGATATTCAGACAGTGCCGGACCCTTTTGCTCAGCATTTCCAAAAGAGCAAAGAGGGCTTCTGTTCAGCCTGTGTCCTCATCTGTGTTATAGTATGCTGATTAGAAGAAGGAGTAGGCTTCCAAATATGTCCACAGTAACTGAAGTTAATGATAAAGACTGGCTGGCAGACGCTGCTTAGAACAAAGTGTCGATACCATCATCAGCCCAGGAACATTGCAGGAAGACTGACCTTTGAAATTTTTTCTGCTTGATACATGTCACAAAAGGAAACTTGCATCTGCTTAAGAGATGCCACAGATTAAATTGTCATTTTTAGAAGGCTGATTCTCAGTGCTTTTTTATTATTAAAAATTCTACTTGAACATAGCTTTCTGAGATTATTTTCCTTTGTGTATTGTGAGTTAGCATTTGGGAGCTCTGTGTCAGTCCAAAACATTTCAGTACTGAGAAATAAACAATGATAATTGATACAGCACAAATATAGTTTACACATACTGTGAGTAATCAGTGACTCTTTTTTTCCCTGCATGACATTTTAAATAATTTTGCTTATTTTAAGGGGTTGTGGCCTTGTCTGTGTTTTGCAGCTAATCAACAAGGCTCTTAAGTTACTCAGACTAATACAACTTTTTAAAAGATGTGTCCATTTTATTGAATTTACAAACGCTTACAAAGAAATTGCTTAAAGAGTCATATTTTATGAGGTATAGAATCAATAAAGTATCACTTTAAGCAAGTTCCCTGTTCTGAACCGATAATGACAACTGCTTAGACTGTGAACGTGATTAAAATGCGAAATGAACTGTGCAGTTGCTGTGGGCACCACAGTTTGCCCTCATTCGAGATGCTGAGTTTGCTGGGATGCTGAGTTCAGGCTATCTGCCTCTGGAGCATTAAACAGAGGTTTCCGAGGTGGTGATGAGGCAGGGCTTGCTGGCTGCCAGGCTTTACCTAAATGGACACAGCAAAATGGAGCATCTCAGTTGTGTGTTCATTTGCAAGGTACCTGCTCAGTGCTGTTTTAAACCCGTCTAACAGATTTTCCTGATGAAGACATGATTGCTCATACAAATCCTTTATAGCCTTTACAAGTGGGATGTGGTTAGAAAGACAGACCCCACCCTGTCAGGAAAAAAAACACCTTCTGTCAAAAAGTTGGTGGTTTTCAGTTTTCTCCTCCCAACTACCCTGACTTTGTAATTAGGATGTCTCCTCTTTGGTTTGGATTCAGGCAATCCTGTATTATTTAGCACATTGCTGATCAGCACCTGCCAAGTGGCAGGCATTAGTGGAGGTAAATGGCAACTTGCAGCCATGACTCTGAAAGTGGAACCATCTCAAAGGGTGTTTCTGACACATGCCCGAAGGGTCCCATCTTGAGTTAGCATTCCATCGAGAGCCACTCTTCTAGATTGTGGACTTGTTATTTCTGCAGTCATCTCGTTGGCTGCTTTGCTTCCCTCCCTTTCTCCTGTCTCCATGTTTATTCAAATAGATGCACCTTGCTCTCTGGAGACAGCATGAGCCGAACAGAATGTCAGATCAAGTAGCAGATGAGTTCTCCTTTGCTGATGGATGATGCTCTCTCCCTCCTTTCTGTTCACTGAGCTGTAAATACCAGCAGATCTTCCTGCCAGAAGAGTAGTGAACAGTCCACCTGATCTCCTCACCAGTCAGCTGTGCATTTCTTGAACCTCAGTTACCCACTGGATTCTAAATCTTTATGCTGTGGAAAGGGTTGTTGCCAATTAGATTAAATGGATGAAGTTTCACGTGGATTGACATGGCTGATAAGAATCTAGAATTTCCCTTTTGTATGTGGGGAGCTGGATAAGATTTACAATGCCAAATATTAGAGTGATGTTTTGTTGGTTTTAGCACATGGAATCCAAGATCATGTTGTGCTTCTTAGGATGCCACATC